TATTCGCTATGCGGTTAAAGCCAAAGTCAAGATATAGGGTATCTATCCTAAAGTCGAACCATATTCCGGGAGGCTTTGAGGTAATATTAGGCGCAAATGCGTAAGTATAATGTTTAGAGGCAATATCTCGAGCCTCCCTACAGATCTCCATATGAGGCACTATTGACTGAGATTTCCAACCATATTGCTCTATTATGAAACCCACCTCCGACCGCAGCGACTTTAATTGAATTGCTTCGAGACGCACGATACGGGGCCCAGGTAGCACAAGCTCCCAAATAACATGGCGCAATTCAGCTGGCAGGTCTCGAAACCTGGGGAATGTAGGAACCTCTCGAGGCTCAACTATTTCGGGCGACTGAATGTAATAATTGAGTGGACGAATCGGGTAGGTCTTTTTCTCAACCAGGCTGTTCGAGCAGTCGCAGCATGTAGCTGAATTCCATAGACATTGGTGATCGCAATGAATGCAGTGTTTTGCTCGACTGCGAGTCCCTTCGAACCAGCCATGGTCGTACTCCAACTCAGGCGCAGTATCCCTCTCCGACATCCGCAAGTACTCTGCATTCCACGTAGATAGCGCCATGTCGATTTGGCAGTGTATAGAAAGTGTCAAGTTGATGTTACCTCAAAATCGCAATTACAGTAGCCTTAAGCTTGGCACGTTTACATAAGCCGGCCACTCTTACTGAGGTGATTTATTCAGGGCAGCTCACGTAGGAACATGTATTAAGAAGTGAACAGACTCAAGCAACAAGTTCTATAAAACACAGAGCCTCAACTTCGGAGCAATCCTTCCAATTTATCCTGGAGATCGTTGTTAAGGCTATACAATCTACTTCTGTGGACTTCTAGATAAACGGTGAGCTTGACAAAATCTTGATTTACTTACAGAAGCATCTTGATTGCGCCTTGTACATAAGAGAGCAATCACAATCTATTGGCTCAGTATGTCAAAAATTTGACATGGTTATTGGGTATCAATTTATCATCTTTTACTAGTTTATGTGCCGGCCGCTCTTGTAACGCCCCTTCCTTGATTTATTTGCACCATTTTATCCTCACCACCACTAACGATTCCAACATCCTTATCCCAAATGACACCAAATACTTTGATTCCCTCACCACCAACAGGCCGCCGTGCCCCTCCTTTCTGGCTTTCCCTCTCAACCACATATACTGCTTCTCCCACCAATCCACCACCCTCATCTTTCGTTCCTTGCCTTGAACTTCTGAGATCCCACACTCGGCATGTACCATCATGACTCCCTGATATCAGACCGTAATTGCTTTCTGGATCTGGTGATAAAGAGACAATTTTGTTAGTGTGGCCACGAAGGGTCATTATCTGCGTTGAAGCAGCTGATATTCTTGGGTCGAGAAGTGTAATATGTCGTGCACTTGTTCCTGCGGCAAGCAATTGGGTGCTGATACCGGGCAGTGCGGTGAGTGATAATAGCGGATGGGAAGTCGTCCTTGTATCGACATTACTAGAGGTTGCGAGATCGAATGTTCGAACAGTATGGTCTTGCGAAGCGGAATACGCAACTGTGGAGTCCAGGGGATTGAAAATCGCTGCTGTAGCTGAGGCCGTGTGTGAATGGATGAGTGATAAGGGGCCCCGCTGCGGGGTAGATGTCGAAGTCGTTAGCTTTCTGCGCTTCGCTGTTGGTCCAGACGTCAGCAGTTCTGATGGTGCAACAGGAGCCGAAGATTTTCGCGTCGTCCAGAGCCCAATCGAGCCGTCACTTGATGCTGATAAAACTCTATTAGAAGGGCCATGAACATCGATCGAGTCGATCCCCCCTTTGTGCCCATACAATTCTAGCATCGGTTTGAGCTCTGCAGAGAATCCGTCTGCTTCTTCAGTATATTTCCATATTCGGATTGTGCGATCCAGCCCGGATGAAGCAATTTGGGTAGGTGAAATAAACCTTGCGGATTTGATGCTTGATGTATGCCCTCCAGCACTCGACGAAACCGACGTTGTAATTGCTTGTCCAGACTTATTCCATACCCTCAATAAGCCATCATAGGAGCCTGACAGAATTCTTTCATTCCCTCTTAACACTCCATCGCCGTTCCAGCTACTGGCAATAGAACTGCCAGATAATACATCTACGCAGCTGACCCAATCATCATGCTCAAAGCTAGCCTCATAAAGAGGTGGGATCAAACTTCGGACGTATTGTAAGTTCAGGGTTGTTTCGGAGGAGAGCCCGTTCGCGGTCAGGTATTCCTCAAGAGTTGTGTGCAAAAAAGTGCCATTGATTAGGAAATCGAATGGAATTGGTGATGAGGTATCGAGCATCGACTCGGAATTGATAATTTGAGAAAGGCCATATCGCCGAACATCTACCACCAAAAAGTCAGTCTTGCTCCACTAGCTGATATAAAGGACTATCCATACTCGTGGGGACAAGTAACTGCCGTTTCTCCTCTGGTAGCTCTATGTCAGCGGAATTAGTGGTAAAATAAACCTGGACCTGCCCCTGCCGGGTGGACTGTTCTTCGAGTGCTCCATCCATAACTGCGTTTGGAAAGACGATACGAGCACAGCGTTATTTGTCGTGTATGAAGCGCAGGATTTTTATCAAAGTGTAGATTTTAGGGAAGAAAAAAATTTGGTGTTCCTACAGTAATATTAGAATGTACTTTATCAAATTTGCTAGACCGCCGATCGTAAACAGTTAGATGGTGTACGGGTAAAAAGTCATAATAAACTCACACCTGCTTGGTCAACATTACTGGTAGCTTTCTCAATTATTTCTCGTCTACGAACTCTTGATTACCATGAGGCCTGCAACGGCAGTGCCCGCATTGCACATTGTATTGCGGTTTTGATTTGTGACCTTCCCTCATTGTAAGTCTTTTAGTGCCCGCTTAGAAAATGCAATACCTAGCATGTCCTTAAAAGTACATTTTGCGGGCCAGAAAAGAAATCTGTTTCGTTAAGCCATTGCCAAGTTGTTGCAACAGCCCGTAGTCACCCCCCTCCTTAGCATAGCACAAGTGCTAGGATTCTCATATAGCCGGTCACTAGAAACACAATATACAGGTATTTATGTTCAGGCTTGCCACCTTCCTCGGAAACTTTTGACAATTTTCAGATACTAAACGTTTTGCATTATGACGAAAACATGGAGGTTATAAGCTGAGGTTTCGATGTTGCTAATGCACACTGACAGACAGGATACCCCAAACCAGGTGTCATAAAAGTTGAACATCTCAAGTAGCATCTTATTCTTGGCGATACTCAAGTATTCGATGCGGTCGGTCTCTGTCCACTCCCCTCTGGCAAGTCTACTATAGGATGTTGTCGATAATTTTCTTCGTAGAGTTCGTGAAGGAGTAGAGGATCGACTTAAAATACACTCGGCGGTGCTCTCATGAAATATGATGGTAGTGCATTTTACAATTTTACAAAACCACAGAGCTAGAATGAACATATTGAACCCCGTTTCTATGAGGCTATCATTAGGGCCAAATACGTCGAAGACAATGGTGGTGATTATTGTAGGCTCATATCAGACGCCGAAGTGATAGTACAGTCCAGTTTCAAATCTGGCCTTTTCAATCTCGAAATTAACGATCTTGTCCTTGTGGCAGATTGGGGGCGTAGTACTTACGAAGTTGTTTCGTTTGCGTGCTGTCACGAGAGTCCTGTCTCGATGGCGAATTATACGTTGCCGGACAAAAATTCTTGCGGGTACGCTTACCACGAACATTGAAAATGGGAAAGATGTGCTAACTCTGGTAGTTCTACTGCGCTCAAAGCACTCATATTACAGACCATCTTAGTTGCAGGCGCCTTGGTGACCTCCGAATACCTCTTTGCAACCATTAAAAACCATGTACCTACCCATTTTTGGAGCAAGGGTGTTTGCCCTAGAGACGGCGTATTTGCTAAAGCCAAAGGCGTTGCGACTGCTAGACTTTTGAGCTTGAGTCGAAGTGTATCGCACGGCTTACTTAGGTGATCCGAAAGCCTGTGCCCTTTCGGTCATATTACTCAAGCTTCTATCCCAAAACTCAGCGATTATTGGACTGAAAGAACTGGTGTGTGAATAATGCACATGTAATACTTCAGAAAGACTACCGCTTGAGTATAAAGGATAGATTTAAGAAAGCAGCATAAAAATTAACATAATCAAATTTATGTATCCTGCAAAGCTTACCTTCACTCCAAGGCTCTCTCTCGCATTCATCTGGGTACTAACTGTATTATCGACTGCCTTGTGATCCTCATTTCCAATTCTATTGTTCCTCCCTAAAGACTCAATCGCGCCCATATCTCCATTACTAATAGTGGCTTTCCTCGAGTGTTAGAACTTATACGTAAATTTTCAGAGTTTTCCCGAGTGCATCATCAGAATGCCCCTTCCTCGCTCCTCAAACTTCCTAAAAACTTGCCCCATCTAATTCATACTGGACGGTATGTGTTGACATGATACACTTCAATTTCATATGATCTTTTCATATGACCACCAAGTGCTGGGGTGAAGGCTTAAAATAAGTGGTAAATGATAGTCTGCCTTTAAAATCCATTTTCTCACATGTGCAAATTCTAGAGACACGCAAAGAAAATATATATACTTGCAACATAAAATTAACAATAATTAATACTACCAAGTAAGTTAAAACCCTAGCAAGAGGGAAAACATTTCTCCTTGAAAGTTGCTCGTCCCTTTCAATTGTTCTCCGTCTGGAGGAAGAAGGAATAACTCAACCATGGAAAATTAGCAAGAAATCTCTTTTCTTTTAATTTACATATGAAAAAGGAAACTATATATTGATATACTGGCATGACCTTTTTCAATCTGACTCAAGATATCGTTGGTCGCTGAGTTGAAATGCTTGTCACATCTACACTTCCCAACCAATCGGCACATCACCCACTCATACTCCGAAACCCCACCAAGCCTTGTTTTCTCCATTTTTATGCTGTTCTTATATATAATTAAATAAGCACAAAGCATTCCAACAAGCAAGCAAAACTCGCTTCCGTGGTCCAATGGTTAGGATTCCACCCTTCCATGTATGCAAATACAGATGTGAGGTGGAGGTTCGTGTTCGATTCACGGCGGTTGCACTAACTAATAATTTTTTCCCTTTTTTTCCCTTCGTAAAATTCGCGATACTAGTAGTTTATGTTGGATGGTGCCCTTTTTGGGGGGGAGGGTGACCTGGACATGGGGAATGTCAGGTGATTGGTAGGTGTTTTAATTTTGACTCGGAAGGGTGAAAAAACCAGATTTGGTTAGTATCTATGAATTTTGTTTTCAATAATCAAGAGAAAATGGTCTTGATTTCGCCATGCGATAATTTTATCATTCTCGACGCTGAGCGTTGACTCACGGACACGAAGTGGTCTTACGAATCTTCCAAAGACTTGTAACTTCCCTCCTCTTGGTGCTCACTCTATTGCTCGATGCTACTTTTATACAAGTACTATACATGATATAAGCCGTCTATAATATAGTAGAATGCCCTCTAAATTCCTGGGCCCATGTGTTCCGCACTCATATATACCACATTATACATGACCAACCTGCTTCGGGGTCGAGGATACATGATCTGATTCGCGTGCCCCTAGCCCGCCCAACAACTCTCTTGCTCGAACCTCGAAAGCCTCAATCATTATACCTGCCACTTGTGAGGCAACGGCTTTGCTCAATGCTGCGTATACTGGATTTCCAAACTGAAAGTCGATTGACAGGTGTACTTCTGTTTGGTCCTTAGCAGGATATTCCGTCTTGTCGGTTTGAGGTCGACCGATATGAGATTTATATTGAAACGGCTTAACCGTCCATCGCGTGTTTATAGACTGAAATATACTATTTGCACCAGCAGGGTTGTTTATTGTTTCAGAATGATGCTCGACATCTTCCTTCGCGAGGGTTGTAGTTGCTTCGCCACCTAGAGCTTCCACAACAGACCCAGGTACACAGAGAAGCCTAGAGGTAAAGGTTTCTTGGATCCCTCCCCATCCTACTTTAAGATCTGCTTCAGAAGGCCACCTCTTTCCATTTTTATCTGGCGCCGACCACTTTGTAACTTTTGACTCTTGACAGTAAGGTAGGAAGCTCGAATAGCTATCGACGTCTGCAATAATTGTATAAAGACTGCTAGATTTGTATGGTAGGATTCGAGTGGCTGAAAGACTTTGCGCCGGTGATGTTAAGAAGCTTCGTGAAGCTTGTGAGCGTATTGAAGGGAAGGTAGTTTGAGGTCGTAAAGTTCGGAGTATTGCTTTTGACATGGTGAATGAGAATTCGTGGCCAATTGAGAGACGGTGTGAGGAACAGATTTCGAAATAAAGCTAATAAAGCCCAGTGGTACTACGGAGAAACCATTATTCACAAGCGATGGCGGAAAATAGAAAGAACCTGAGTCTAGACAATCGTGAGGTCATGATAGCAGATGGCCGAGTTCGAAAAGAATCCCAGTCAAGGCCCGGCAGAAAGCTTCACCGCCTTTGTGAAGCACACATAATTTTTTCGCGTTCTGATCTTCAACATTACTTTCGCACTTTTCTCTCCAACCACTACAAACTCTTGCGATTCCCTGCGCACCCTCCAATTCTTACAATATAGGGAATGGAGTCGAGTAAATGTAGTAGCGAGACTATTCCAGTCCGGCCTTTATCCGATCTGTCTGTGAAGGATCTAGCTGCAGAGAATAATAGGTCACAATCGACTCCACCCCACAGATCTCACGATCCAGAGAACAATCTAAAGAGAAGCGACCCGTTTCAATTTGGGTCTCGCTTTCTCAGCGAGAAGGACAATGTGTTCGAGTTCAATGCATGGGACCATGTAGAGACTGACGATACTTACAAAGAATATGCAGAACAGCAATACGCAAAGCAACGAGAAGCACCTGTCTCAGATTTCGATAAAAGTAAGTAACCTCCTTTTCTCTCTGCCATATCTAGTGGCATTACCCTTGCATTCTGATGATCCAAAAATTACGCATAGTTCATCTGAGGTCTACTAGCCCATGAACGAAACAAATTAGCAAATGTCTTTCGCTCCTATCTGACATGCATTTTCTCTACCTTTCATCGTTTGATCATCGTAATTGAACATCGCTGACTGTTTAATAGGCAGGTTCAATGGGGACCCTGCGAAATGGTGGAACAATTTCTACAAGAACAATACTGCAAATTTCTTCAAAGATCGCAAGTGGCTCCAACAAGAATTTCCAGTCCTCTCTCAGATTACAATGGCCAATGCGGGTCCAGTCACACTCCTCGAAGTCGGTGCCGGTGCTGGGAACACTGCATTTCCTATTCTTGCGCACAATGCAAATCCAAATCTAAAAATACACGCGTGCGATTTCTCTAAGAAAGCCGTAGAAGTGATACGTGCAAACGAGGCATATGATACCAAACATATACAAGCAGATGTCTGGGATGCAGCCTCTGATGAACTTCCACCTGGCTTGGCGGAAGAAAGTGTCGATGTAGTCTTGATGATATTTATTTTCTCGGCTCTTTCGCCATCTCAATGGAATCAAACTGTTCATAATATTTTCAAGGTCCTCAAACCTGGTGGTGAAGTCCTATTCCGAGATTACGGCCGTGGCGATTTGGCTCAAGTCCGTTTCAAAAAAGGCCGATACCTGGAAGAGAACTTTTACATTCGAGGAGATGGTACGAGAGTCTACTTCTTCGAGAAGGATGAACTTGTTGATATTTGGACGGCAAAGAGTTCCGAGGACGTCTCGTCCCCCCACTTTGAAGTTGTGGACATGGGCGTAGACAGAAGACTCCTCGTCAACCGAGCCAAGCAGCTAAAGATGTATCGATGCTGGCTACAAGGACGCTTCCGCAAGCAAACAAATTCGGAAATATGAACTGAATTTCATGTAAACTGACCTGCACAGCCAAGATGTAGACCTTGATAGGAGCAGACGAAACTCGTCAGCCATATGACCTTGAACCAGCCACAGCTCATATCACTTGTGAATTTGATTCATTTGACCAGCAATAGCTTGGGATCCGAACACTTTGTGGCCTTCCATACTCCACTCTGCTCAGTGAATCGTTTTGCTCCTGTCCAATTTGCGATAAAATCACAATTTTTTATGGGAGTTGAGACAGACAAAGATCTAGATAGCAATACAAATGAAACCTTTGCAATCATCTTATTTTCACACCAGCATGTGGTCTTGGGTATCCAAATCACCAGGATTACGCGATTTTCTCAGCTAGGTGGTGGCGCGAGTTTAAGCCACCACCACAAAAGCAAGTATATTGAGTTTGCGGCTGAGGCCCATTTTCCGTTCCATTATTTGTCACATAATACCAGAGACAACAGAATTTGTAAAGGAGTAGAAACGGGACCTCGAGATGCCTTTCACATCCTCACCCTTCGATAATGCAAAGATATAGACGAGTAATCCAAAGGCTCTCCTAGTATTTAACCTGTTTCTCGCTAATCAAATGGGCATTTAGAGGTATATCGCTCTGCAAGAATGGATTATTGGACCCTAAAGGTTCAAGTTCTTTTTGTGAGGAGCTATAGGAGTCATTTGCTGGCCGATCAGAGGTCTCTGATTTACGGTATTCCTTATCAATTCTGGGGGATAGGACAGCTAGCATCGAAAGCCCTTAGCTGAGAGAATAGGAACTGCTGAGCCTGTCCGCGAATTGTCTCGCACGTTTCTGTGTAATGTTCACTTTCCTTGCCCTGCCAAATTATAAGCACCTCTAATTGTGACTACAGTGCCTTGAAGAAAATATCTTCAGGTTAGTTGTGTCAATCAGTTTCAGAGTAGTGGATATTGCTCTACATCACTATGAAAAAGTCAGCAGGGAGATTCTTCTAGTATATCAACTTCTGATTAGGTGATAGAATGGCCTTTACAAAGAAATTACGTGGAAGTGGAAGCAGGGATTATATCATGAGCAAAAAACTCACATAGGTTCGGAATATTCCCTAGTTATATTTTGGGACAATGTGGATAAATTGAAGTCCCTTGTTCCCCAAAGTTGAACATGCTCGACAGGTTGATTGCTTCTAGAAGGCCCATCGAGGATTATTTGTGGTGGGGAGATGCAATGGATTAGATCATACTGACATCATTGATGTGCGTTGGTCTGAAAATGTTTCTGCTGAGAACCTAATTCTTTATCATCTAGAATGGATCCCGGTTCACGGGGCTCCACTCAGTGGTTATATGTGAAGCAATCAACTAATTTACTCCCCCACAACCCAGACCATCATCTGTGCAACGGCAAGGCTGAGTAACTAAAGAATGGAGTGACTCCGACCATTTTTGGGTCATAAAAGAGAGTGAGCACTTGATTTTATCTCTACACTGGGCATTGAGGCGGCGTGTGCTACAGTGGTTATACCTATTGTATTCAGTCCGTTTTTTCCGAGGTTTGGATAGCGGTCGTTATTTATAAGTGTGACGCTGATATTTAGGCTTCCTTTCTTTTTGTTGTCGCGATTAGGAATTACATCATCCCGATTGATGTGTGATCTGCCTAATCTCCCTCCCCGGGAGTAATAAGGGCTTCATAGGAGCCCTTCTGATTGCATTATTGAACACAGAATATGAGAACAGCAGGAAACCCTCCTAAGATTTCAGAAATGGTAATTCTCATTCTTCATGCTATATCTACTCAGGACTTGCGATAGTTAAGAGACTTGTATGGCCGCAAAAGGTCCACCCCAGTGATGTAATTATCACGTCGACCTTCTAAATATGCCTCGGAAGGCTTAGTTAATTGCTCATTCTTTTTGCCACCAGTCTCAAGAATAAGGACAGATATTTTCTCTGAACTCGGCTCAGAAAATTCATCTTCTGGCTTGATAGCATAATCTGAATGAGACAAGTCAATTGTATCTTGTTAAGTTACTAGGTTTTCATTGGCGGAAACCGAGTAGCGCAGTTTTGTATGAGGACAGGACTTTCAAGGACTCCTTCACCGAATAACTCTAGATCAACCACTAGGTCACCGAGCTAGCAAGATGTACGGTCTGAGGTGGTTGGTGTTGAAAGTTTGCCAAGTGGTGGCTGAGAACTGAGTGGAGGGTGAGTGAGACACTTCGATGCCGTTGCTCAGACTTATAGGTG